GGGAAGCTGCCCCAGGAGGAGCAGCAAAAAGGAGCTGGAGCATGACACTGAGCACCCACTGCTCCCACCTGTGCATCCTGCCCCATGTGGGACAGCAGGCTGCTTGTGTAGGGAAGTGCCAGCCCTGATTGTCCCAGAATTATGGAATCATCACAGAATTACCTGTGTTGGAAGGGACCATAAAGATCATCTAGTCCCAACTACCCCACCACAGGCAGGGACACCTCCCACTAAATCAGGTTGCTCCAAGCTCCATCCAGCCTGGCCTTGAACACTTCCAGAGAATGGGACATCCAAGTCTTCTCTGGACAATCCGTTCCAGCCCTGATTGTCCCAGAATTATGGAATCATCACAGAATTACCTGTGTTGGAAGGGACCATAAAGATCATCTAGTCCCAACTACCCCACCACAGGCAGGGACACCTCCCACTAAATCAGGTTGCTCCAAGCTCCATCCAGCCTGGCCTTGAACACTTCCAGAGAATGGGACATCCAAGTCTTCTCTGGACAATCCGTTCCAGTGCCTCAGCACCCTCACAGTAAAGAATTTCTTCCTAATACATAATCTAAGCACATCCTTTCAGTTGGAAGCCATCATACCTTATCCTGTCACTGCATCACTCTCTTCCAGAATATCACTTAGTACCTTTCATTTGTTGTTTTTTAATCCAGAAAATCTTCTATTAAATCCAATGTATTGATACATTAACCATCTTACTAACCATGCCTACATGCAATGTTCCTAAATTATCCCCAGGGAGCTCTAAATCCATCACAGCATGTAAGAGGACAGGGAGAGCAGTACTATGTGTGGCAGGTGTGAAAGGCAATTCCCTAGCTTTCTATTTTTGGTGGTGTTGGAAGAGTTAAAGGTTTGTTTTCCACAGGAAGAACAGACTAAAACAAACAGCAGTGACAGTAATTGCTCTGGCTTGTTTTATTTTTGCTGTCAGCTGTGGGGTTTGTCTATGCCATCGCTTTCATCAGTACTTAATTGTTGGCACAGAGCCTCAGCTGCCAAATTACCTGTCCCGTTGCCACGCGAAGGGCTGTTATATCATT